TATCACTGAACAATGATTGTACTCAGGAAGAGTCTCTTACTTAGCAAATTAGTCTTTTTGTCTTTCTCTTTGATAAATGAGGAGAACAGCCAACCATGCCCGCCATGGCTGGTGTGAGGTTAGGAGAAGTGTTGTATTTATTTACTCATTTATGTCACAACCTGATCTCGAGAAGATTTACACAGGTTAGGACAAAATGGGAAATATTTTTCATGCTCAGTCCATGAGTGTGGCTCATAAATTTAGATATCATGATGTTTACCAAAAGGATTTCTCCTTGTGTAGACTCTCTCTCTTTCCTAGTCACCTCCAGCAACATTTTTATAAGAAAATTTTTTATTGTTTTACCTAAACAATTGTTGATCTAATCAATAATTGATCCTCATTTTTTTTTTTTTACGTTTTGAAATAGAAATACTAGATTTTCAGCAGGACCAGATCCGTTTGGGGGGGGGGGGGCTGAAGCTGAGGTCACCTGGATTAGGGGCCCGATGACTAGTCACATGGGAGACTGTCTAGCCTTGGGTGAGCTCTCAGCAACACAGGGCCAGTTTAAAAAATGTACTGAAGGTTGGCAATAACTACTCATCTGATGCCCCTCCCCCAGTGCTTATCCTTTAGCTTCCAAAATAAAGTGACAAAGGAGGTCAATTGTGTGGATCAAATAAATGCGTTGAAAATCCACTTACCAGTGACTATCTGGTTGAGATCATTAATGAGTAATAAAAGTCCCTGGACGGTCATCTTAGTTTTGTGGTCTGGTCAGAGATTTCAGTCCAGAAAGGAAGTTAGGAACCCAGGAGGGTCAGGGAGAGAGAAGAGACACGGAGAAAGAGGATCTGAGTGGAGGGACAAGTATAGGGTTTCCGGGAGATTTTTTGTATGTGATTTTTCTGTATTTTTACCAATAGAGCCTTTAATAAATAAGTGAGTCAAGCCAAACTATTTCTGCTGTCATTGGTCCAGGCGATGACATTTTAGACATCAGAGTTCCAAGTCCCTAAGAAGAAATAGCCTAATGAATAATGTTTCTCCAACTTCTTCAAAACCAGGCAAAGACATATAATATTCACATCCGCATTTTTAATACATTTGCTCCCCAGTGTAAACAAGGTCCTGATCAGGAGCCACTGTGCTCACGTAACATGAGAAAGCAGTGTTGTGGGACACAAGAAGTTGGTATGATCACTGCATGCTCTCCTTGTAGGGACCTTCCTGAGACACCAAATCACGATCGAGCTGTGGACAGAGTCTTGAAGAATAAGGAGAGACGGGAGATTTGGCTGTTTCATGATACCAAGATAAGACGTGATTTCATCCGTCTCACAGTGGATTTGTTTTTGCCAGTGAGACCAGAAATACTCAAAGTCATTGACTGCTATCCTAGTGGCTCTCACCTCACTGGGGGTGACCTGGCACATCTGTCCCCACTGAGCCAGCAAAGCCAAGGGGGCCCTGGCAACATGGGCCCAAGGACTCCTCCATACCCCCATGTCTGTTGCTGCTGGCTGCTGCGTGGTAGCCACTGAGCGGGGCCATGACTGCAGGCAGCTGATTACCAAGCCCTGTTGACCTTGGAGCCAGTCTGTCTCGTTAGGACAGTTTGTCCAGCTCCGCTCTGTGTTTATCTGATCATTTGCCTTGGGTGTGAAGGGGACACTTGAATTCCTTGACATTCACATTCCTGAACAACTTCTTCACCCTTAGCCTCCCACTGTCAATGGCAGTAGGTAATTGTACCCCTGATAAAGGTATGTACACACTTCCACAGACACACAGTCTCACCTACACATATAATCTCTCTCACACACATGCACGCGTGCACACCTACACACAGGACTATCCATTGGTTTTCAGTTTTGTTTTGCTCTTGCCAACTGTGTTTGGCAGGAAAAAAGCAATTGTTCTCCATGTGCAAATGAATGGAGAGGAGAGCAAAACAGAAGAAAAAGCCAGTGCACAGGAGTGTCCTGGGTCTCCAATGAGTAGGAGAATCAAGCAGAGTGGACCCTCTCTGGAGTTAGGTAGGCAGAGACGTCTGAAGCAAGCTGCAAGTGATTGCTTTTGAGAGAGAGAGAGAGAGAGAGAGAGAGAGAGAGAATGTCTCATTTTGCAGAAAGAGACCGGAAGAAGCACCCAAGTTTGCTGGGGCATTAGAAAGTGACATTAAACCTGAGACCTAGACGGAGGGGCTTATTGTGCAGCCACATGGGAGAAAGAGCTTCCACGTTGTGGGAATAAAGTGTACTGAATCCAGGGATGTGGGCATGCAGGGTGCATTTGGATGAACCAAGCAGAACAGGGGCAGGACGTTAAAGGCGGACAGGAATAAGATCCAGAGCAAGGAAATCTTTGCAGGCCTTGCAAACAGAAATTTAGACTTCCTTCTTCAGGCCTGTGGTTCCCCAGCTGGAGTCCACAACCCCCTGGGAAGCTGTGGCGTTAATGACAGATGTGAGAATCGACAGGAGCACCGAGTATTGCGTGCAGAAGAATGTCACTCACATATACTCCATTTTTTCAATTATACATAGATGCTTTTGTGATGAACTTAGTGTCAACTGAAAGCATTCCCAAACCTAACATAAAATGAACCATTATTTTTGAATTTGCAAAGGCTTTTACTATTGTTATCTCAACTAATGGGACGGTGCAATTACAGGTGGCTTTTTCTCATTATGTATTTTAGCAAAAATAGTCAAACTACAATTGCTATCCAGTGGAATCTGCAAAATTTGGAGGCGTTATGAAATGTTTGGAAGTCAAGATTGGGGTGATGGAGAACCATTCAACATTTTTGAGAAGTGAAGGGACTCAGAACTTCCAAACGAAGCAAGCAAACAAACAAACAAAAAAACTGTTGGCAGACTGGAGGAGGAGACACGAGGAAGGCCGGAGAAAGATAAGGTGTACCTGAATGCCCGCCATGGTGTGGCTAAGGAGGAGAAGGACAGTGAGGAGAACGCCCAACCGTGGGACCTGGTGATTAGATGTGAACATGCAGGACAGGAAGTCTGGGCTGATGACAGTTCTGGTTTGGACAGGAGCACAGCTGTCAGGGTGTGTCCAGAGCATTCCCTCAGGCAAAGAGCACTCAGGGACACAGGAGGCAGGTGTTGGGGAGCAAGGAGCTGACCTCTGGGTGAGCACAATGGCCTGCAGAATGAATGGCCCCCAAAGATGTCTATGTCCTGTGCCTGTGACTAAGTGGGACACACAGCAAAGAGGCATTAGGCCGGGGATGGAATAATGATTTCTAATCTGCTGACCTGGATATGGGGGATTAGTCTGAACGCTGTGGGCAGGCCAGTGTAATAATAAGGATTCTTAGCTATGGAAGAGGACATAGAGGTGTCAGGCAGCTTCCCGGTGAGAAAGACGTGACCGCCACTGCTGATGGTGGTGGTGGGGGGGATCAGGAGCCAAAGAATGTAGGTGGGCTCTAGATCTAGAAGAAAACGGACCCCCGCTCCCAAGCTTCCAGAAAGGAACACAACTTTGTCATCACCTTGATTTTAGCCCAGCGTCACCCATAAAACAAAGCCAACTAAGTATTCCATCACCAAAAGGCTTTATTTGGGGGGAAAAGAAAGGACTGCAATCCAATACAGGCAGCCACGGTGAACACCACATGTACACACTGACCTGGGGGAAGAGGAAGTTCAGGGAGGGACAGGTACAAGCCTGGAGCTCTGCTGTGAACATCGAGCTCTTCCTTCCTGTAGGGCTCTCAGGAGGACCATAGATTGATAGCTCCTCCCCCAGGTCATAGCTCCTCCCCCAGGTCCTAGCTCCCCCTAAAGACCCTCTAGATTGCTGTCCCAGTTAAGGTCTCTGTGGCAAACTTTATCACCAGTGAGACCCATTTTGGATTTCTCACCTCCAGAACTATAAGGTAAAGAAATTTGTGTTGCTTTAAACCATTACGTTTGTGGTAATTTCTTACTGCAGTGTTAGGAAACTGATAGACCAAGTTCAATTCTAAGTACCAGCAGGACATTCAGAAGGAGAATTAGTGGAGATGCGAGATGCTGCTCCAGGATGTATCTTTTTAGAGATAAAGCTCGGGCTCCCAACCACATGCCTCTTTCATATGTCAACTGTGTCTCTTCAAGACCTGGCTTTATTATCAAGATTATGCATTTTATGGGAGATGAGGCAACTGCGGTTGGGTGAGTCAGACGAATAAACAATGACACACATGGCTTTAGATTCACAAAACCCAGAGACGCTAGTCTGAAGCAAGAACTTCTTGCATGAAAGGAGGTGCGGGAAATCCCTGCTGAGGCCTGGAAAACACAGAGATCCCCTGACTTCTGCACAATACTCACTGTGCTGCCTGGCCCTCAGTCCCCAAGCTGCCTCTGTCTGCTAAACCCAGTGGCTAAATCCAATTCACCATCTGCGGGATTAGCACAGAGTTCCTCCTCGTGGGCAGGAGGCCCGCGGGCGTCTCACTGGCTCAAACAGCAGCATCTGTTCCATAGTCGGACTGTGGACTTACTAGAGTAATTTATATTATTTTGCTCTTGTTTCATAAAAATGAGCAGAAATGAAAAAATGAGTGTGTTATTATCCATAAAAAACCAATGCCTCATAAAATTTGATAGAGTTGAAGATGAAAGCCACTGGGGGCCAATAGCAAGTTGATCAACTGACTGTCCTGCTGGGAAAGAAATGAACAAACCTACCAACAAGACCAGCCAGAGTGGACATTTACTGAGCCCTTACGGTGCCCAAGCACTTTGTAACCCCGTCAGCCCGCCGGGGTAGGTGCCCTGCCCATTCCCTTACAGATTTGAAAGTGCAGACACACAGAGGTTGAGAGGTCAAGCAGCTGAAGGAATCACAACTGGTAAGAGGCACAGCAGGGGTCCAAGCTCCAACAGCCTGACTCAGGGTCCCTGCTCTCTCCTCCCCTTCCTTCCCATTGGCACCACCCCTCCCTCCCTGATGTCACGGTCTCCCTGACCTCCTTCCTCCCCTCCCCTCCTCTGACCCCAACATCATTGCCTCCCTGGTATCATCCCCTCCCTGATTCCATCTCCTGCTCCCTGCCCTGCAGTCCTGTCCTGTCCACACTGGCTTCCAGGACACGTCAGACATTTTTCTGCCTCAGGACCTTTGCACCTACTATTCCTATCAGAAAACTTTCTTCCACATACTTCTTATTCCCTCACCTCCTTCAGGTCATCTACACACCCCCATGAAGCCCTCTGAGACCTCCTGTGGCTGGACAGGGCCCTCTGTCAGTGTGTCCTGGGAAGGCCTGTCCGGGGCATGAGAGGTGGGATTGGGGCTGGGTGAGAAGAAACTTCCCGGTGCCCCTGGGCTGGAACCAGGCTGCCCGGAGGAGGCCGGGAAGGGCAAGCTGGCTTTTCACACTTCGGGGCAGGAGCAGGTGGGCTGTGGTTGCTCCCTGCACAGTATGGCAGTGCTCACATTTGCATTGGATATGAAAGTTGTAGCCTGGCCTCAGAGGCACTGGGGGGAGCAGAGTGGGCGGACCCATCCTTTACTAAGATGACCAGGAGCACGGGCCACCCCCGTGAGGCTGGAGGGTGGAAACAGGCTGACGCTGGCCCCTCAGAATGGTCCTGTCCCTGGGGCCACATTCCCTGCAGCCGGTGGTATATATAGGGCCGCATCTGGGTGACAAGACTGACCACGAGAACTTGAGAACAAATACACATGCAACATGAGGGCGTCTCCCAGTGTCACTGGCGATGGCGCAGCCTGTGCCCTGCTGCTCTTCACTGTAAAGATGGGGGGCTCGTGGTGCCTTTGACCTCTAATCCCCTCCACAGGTGGTGGAAATCTTGGACATTTACCTGCATATACAGATGTTTACCTGTGCATTACTGTTTACACACAAGGCAACGGAGGCTCAGACCTACCAATAGCTCCACCTCATCCCACACTGAGTGCTCCTCCAAGTCTGGGCTCCTGGCTCCAGGAACAGCACTCCTTCATCTCACTGGGACACCAGCCCACCACCCACCACAGATGAAGGGCCAGAGAGTTCTTACATCAGGCTGTGACCCCTGAATTCTCAAAACCCCATACCGAATAAGCGTTGAATGCTGGTTGGGGCTGTATTCCCCAAATGCCCCAGGGGGTCATGCCTGATACTTCTCGGCCAGCCCGCTTCTCTGTGTGGCTGAACTTTTATTCCCCTCCAGGGAAACTCTTTTGGAGGAAAGGCACCTGCAGGTCTAGCCACAGGTCAGCATTTCTTTCACACCAGTTCATGTACAGCATCTGCAAGGACAACGCTCTGCTCACTGTCATTACACTTGAAAGGTGAAAGGACAGCTTGGTAAGGCACCAGGTGACGACAGGTTGGGAAGAAGACTTGCCCTCGTATACAAGACCTGGGGGGTTCCTCTTGTCTGTGAAGCCTAGAGAATGTCCCAAAGGTTTGTGTCCACCATACACGGGGACAGTTTTGGAATATATTGTATTTTTAAACCTTAGACAGCCTACACTGGAGGAGGTGAGCCAAAGAATCCAAAGACCTATAACCAAGATTACTCTATCCAGCAAAACTTTCATTTAGAATGGAAGGGCAGATAAAGTGCTTCTCAATTAAGATCAAGTTCAAGGAGTTCATCATCACCAAGCCCTTATTATATGAAATGTTAAAGGGACTTACCTAAGAAAAAGAAGATAAAAAAGATGAACAGTGAAAGGACAGCAAACTCACAGTTACTAAGAACCACACTTAAAACAAAAGCAAACTAAGAGGACAGCTAGATCAGGAGCAGAACCATAGAAATGAAGATCACATGGAGGGTTAGCAACAGGGGGGTGAGAGGAGGAGAAGGGGGGAGAAGGTACAGAAAATAAGTAGCATAGACAGTAGATAGAAAATAGATAGGGGGAGGGTAAGAATAGTATGGGAAATATAGAATCTAAAGAACTTGAGACACATGGTCATAAACTAAAAGGGGGATGGTGGGGGTGGGGGGTGCAGGGTGGAAGGGAATGAAGGGGGGAAATAGGACAACTGTAATGGCATAATCAATAAAAAAAAAAAAAAAAAGTGGCATTTTCCGAAGCACAACTCTACTAAAATCTTCTCTGGGACATGAAGCTTCGGGTTCAACGTGTGTGCTTTGAAGGGTAGCAGCTCTATATTTAACACAAGCACATATTTTCCAAAGCTTTCCACCCACATCTCCTTTTTTCACGGAGAAATAAGAATGGTGGAAACCCTTGAGATGATCAACTGTACCTTTAGTATTCCCTAAACTGCTGCAACGTATTGAAAACTGTTGCGTTTAAATGCCAGTCCCCGGGGTGCACAGGTCGTCTCAAGCCGGATTAAAAATAACCCCCTGGGAAGCCCTCAGAACCGGGCCACACAGGCGTTGTTCAGTAACCACTTCCCACCAGGGCCCCCGAAAGGCAGAAGTCGCCAAAGCCCCGCCCAGGGGGACCAAGGGAGGCCTTCTGCACGCTATCATTTGCATACAAGTTTCGTGTTCTGTCTTCGAAATTAATTTGCTTTGGACTCCTTGACATTTGCTTAAATATAAAATCCTGTTTAAAATGACTTGTCAGTCAAGTAACTACCTCTGCACACTGGGGCAGCCACAGCCTCCTACAGATGGGGGAGCCAGGCACACAAGCTCAGAACGCTTCTCCTCAGGTCCTTTTGGGGCACGTCCACAAATATGGACATTTTATTCACTCGGGTTATAACTAAATGCTTTAGATTATGGATACTGTCAATGTACTGAAGGATAAAGAAGAATGAGCAGTCTACGTATTTGCATTTTTAAACAAAGAAATTAGTTAATTTTATTTACTAACAGAAATAAAAGAAGCCCCTAGCCTAAAAGCGTAACCTAATCTTTTACTTTTTTCTATGGAAAAACACGAATTGGCTTTTTTTAAAACATAAAACACAACACAAGGCCCACAGATAAAACCCTTGTCTGCTGCCTCCACGGAGATTTGCCACTAGGTTGGTTTTGGTACGTCTGCTTCACCCACTGCACATCTGGGATTACGATTCAATGGGTCAGGCTACCTTTTGGTATCTCAGAAGTACACCTGTGGTGTGGCAATTCCATCGTCCAGAAGATTAAGCCCTAAAAACTGCCACCTTGAAGAATACGGATGTTTCACAAGTAGGTGGTTTTCTGGCCGCCTCCCAGTGAGGACAGAGCATAGTGCGGGAACTGTGGCCCAGCACATACCCCGCTTGGGGGCCTCGGCAGACGCCCTGACCCTTTTGACCCCTCTGACCTGCTGCGACAGACTGTGGGTTTAACTGGCTGTTTTAACAAATTTTAAATAGGTTCTGAGAGATGTTCGTGTTTTGTCTTAAGATGGTCTCAAAAATGTGCTTGGATACCCCGAAAGTCACGGGGTATGATCAAAAAGAAATCTGTTCCAAAACATGTCGACCGAAAGAGGAAGCCGCAGGCCCCTCGGTCTGCGTTTATGGCCAGGCCTTTCCCCGTTCACTGTTCGAACGTCTGACTCGGCAGCAAACACAGCCATATGTGTGCATGTGCGCGCATGTGTACAAGTACCTTTGGGCTACTTAAAGAAAAGGTGCGTCTGTGTCCCACACACATTAGCTGCAGGCTTTTCCAGAGTGGTCACGCCCCTGCAGGAGGGACAGCTTAAGTATGGAAGTTTGGAAACAATTCGACAGGTGCTCCCTAATGCTCGGGCAATTTGGTGCGTGTGGACTAACTGCTAACATCAATTTCGATTTCGAGATGAATCACTCCCTAAAGAAAACGTATCTGCTACTGGCTGCCACTTGGCTTTAGTCCACATAAGGTGCAGGCTACGTTTGTACAGCATCAACAGAAATGGTCTCAGAATGGAAAAATCCCACTAAACAATGTTGTCTTTTTGGTCTACACAGTGCTATAGAGTTAGTGGGTAGGTTGTGTTGGTTATTTTCAAATCCTTCAGCAACTGAATATTAACATAGTGACTGGTTTGAGGTTTCATAGGCAGAGGTCTCTCATTTTTTCTGATTTTTGTTCCTTAAAAAAAGAGAGAATAAAAAGTATGGAGTTTCAAAGCAAAGAGTGGTTTTCCCAATAGCTGGCCCTTGATCAAGAACCAGTTAACTAGACCACGGCATTCTGTATGGGAACATGTGGCAAAATTTCATTCTTCACACTCACATTTGAGGTGTCTTTCTCCTATTAGGTATAAATCAAATCCAAAGGTCTAGAGCGCTAATTTCCAACGTTATGAAAAACGCTTAAGGTACTTCGAAAATACGCTGCATAAGAGTCTCATTCCTAAGCTCAGACAAACAACAAGAAAAATCAAAGGCAAGAAAGGATACACACATGGAGAGGCCCCCCCCCCCCGGGACACCACACAGGTTCTCTAAACAGGCTGTGCACCGTAAGAGGAGTCCTGGAAGCTAATATAGCTCCTAATATCGATTTCACCTGAAATGTCTTTCTGGGTCCCCTGCCCACATCATACGAAACAGCAATACTTCTTCCACCAGGACTTGGAGAGGTTTTTCATTTTGTCTGGAGTCCTGCTTTTGGACTTCTTCGGCTGTTGCTGTGTGTCCGAGTACTGAATGCCAGCGACGATGGCCGCGTCAAAGACCTCTTTGAGGTTCTTCTGAGTCAAGGCCGAACACTCAATGTAGGAGGCGGCTTTGATCTCGTCCGCACACAACTTTGCCGCTTCTTCGGGCACGGGTTTCTCTTTGCACTTGTCCAACTCGATGAGGACTTTGACATCTTCTCTGAGATCCGACTGAGTTCCAACGAGGATGATGGGGGCTTTGGGGCAGTGGCGCCGGATCTCGGGCACCCATTTCTCCGTGACGTTCTGGAAGGAGGAGGGGCTGACCACACTGAAGCACAGCAGGAAGATGTCCGTGTTGGTGTAGCAGAGGGGCCTGAGTCTGTCAAACTCATCCTGCAAACAAAGCACCCAAAGGTATCTTAAAAATGCATCTCATCGGCAAACAGAACACCTTAAGTTTTTTTGTGAAAAGGTCTGGCAGGTAATAGAAAGCCCACTGGTTATGGAAAGAAGAGCCCATGTCTTAGAAAGAACCCGGCTGTGCTCACCTAAGTGGGGCCCAGGCTGCACGATGAACAAAATCTGCAAGTGTGTGCAAGTGTCCATAATGCATGTGACCAATCTGTGACTTACCACGGAAAATGCACTTAGATGAATTTCAGAGATAAAAATTCAGGCCAGAGTAACTAACTGAGCTACTCTTCTGAAACGTAAACAGGGTATCCACGCTGATCCCCAAGATCCCCACCGACCGCAGGGAGACCCAGTCCGAGAACACAGCTCCTCTCTGTGTGAACCCAGCCCTGCCCATTCTCACGGCAGTGGTGAGCCAGGCCTCCTTCTTGCCAGCTGCACTGTGCCCACCAGGGCCCACACTGTGCAGAAACCAGAGCTAACCAGACCCGGGGACAGACCCAGAATGGGGACTGAGGACCCCGTCAGGCCACTGTCTCTGACAACTCGAAGAACCTGCGCCTCCCAATGTCATTTACGGTGTCGGTTCATACAGCTTCATTTTTGCTCGATACACCTCTTCCTTCTTGCTATATCATCTCTTTCCCCCTCCTCCCTTCCCTGTCTGTTACCTCCTGTGCTCTGGTCTCTCTGCCAACACCGTAGCTGCATCTTCCCAAAGCCTCCACACACGGTGCTTTGGGAAGATAAAGGGCCAGAGAGAGGGGGTACCCTCCTCCCCTGAGGGTAGAGAGACCAGGCGGAATAGGTCAGAGGTAGTTACTCGGAGTAACCGTCATGTTCCTGCAGTCAGTCTCTTAGGAGAGTCCGTGCAGGGCCTGGGGCTCAGCTGGGAACACACAGACACGGCCTCGGCTCGGACAGAAATGTGTCTCCAAATCAGGGTATTTTCATATCTAACTATAGTTCCCAGTGCTACCATATTCAGTTCATTGAAAGCCTTCCCTTGACTCTCTTGTAGGAAAATATCTACATCCTCCCATTCCTATTTAAAATGTCTATCTGTGGGTACCAACGATCCTCAGGTGTGGTGTGGCAGAGAATTCCCCAGTGGCAAGGAAAGTTCAGGGCATGCTCCGATTATTTACAAACTCCAATGCATGCGCACATTATTCTGCGTGCAATTTTTTTCTAAGCATAAAGGAAACCTGGTGGGTTCCATCTGAACACACTTTCTTCGTCTGAGGCTTGATATTTCCACTGGGGCACATCCACCACCCAACAGTATTAAAGTCGACCAGCTGACAGGATCGGGAATGACTGTGGCATTTCAGAACACCCCTGGCCCTCGGCAGTCTTCCAGAAGCAAGAGTCAGAAAAGAAGGACTTGGGTTTCTTAGTGCCAACGTTGTGCTGAAAGAATAAATACAGACACTCCACCAGGTAGACGATGGCCCAGCTCGGCAGCTCTAGTCATGAAACGTCTCTCTGTTCTCCGGGGCCTCAAAGGAAGGAGTGTAAAACTGAGCCCGGCATGAGGTCAGCTCCCTCGGGCAGCTGCACCGCCGCTGTTGGAAGGCAGTCACCCTTGGCCGGGCTGGAATCTGGGGTTGCATTACCAATAAAAAGAAAGGCAAGCCCAGGGGGCAGGCCTTCAGTCAGGGCATTGGAAATCTGGCTGCCCAGACCTCTTCAGATTCTAAGGGGTTCGGGAAGCAAAGCAGAAATTAAGCCCTCCTGCTCACTGCCCGACGAGAAACCTTAGATATTTGCTGAAATAAACACACACGTGTGCGGTGAGACCAACGGCCGTGTACCTTCCAGCCTCGGCATCTGCATACCTTGGCCAGGTCCGTGGGGAGGATCTGGTTCGGGGGCAGGCAGCAGGCAGTGGGCAGCGGGAGAGTAGCGTCGGCCAAGCTGCAGTCTGATTTTTTGTTTTTATTTTTTTTCAGTATAAAGATTTTCCCAAGTGCCTCATGGGTCAAAAGGCTGAAGAACTTTGACCTCTTATTGGCAAGGCTACAATGAAGTAGTCTTATCACAGTGATTCCTCTTTCTCTCATACCAAAGGCAGATGTCTCCAAGTGCTCAGTCTCGGATCAATTTTCACTTGGTAAGACCGTGAGTGCAGCATTAAAAACTCCTTTTAACATCTTACAGACTACTTACCCTCCCTCACAAGAACACCCAAGGGTACAAGAAGCAACGTGAGGGATTTATCCAGCCAGTGGAGCTGTGTTCTTGCTCTGAGCTTCTCTATGAAACCTGCCCTGGGGCCCCCGGTTATGCTGCCTGTGCTCACATTCTGCTGCAGGTGGAAGTGGAGATGGCTTGAGTCACTGTCAACCACGAGGCTATCAGGAGGACTGCCTGGAGGAGGGGAGTTCCGCTGGCTGAGTCAACACTCAGTCAATATGGCTGGCGTCAAATCAAGTCCCTTAAAAGGTAGTTTTATCAGCTCTGGAGTAAGGACTTAGAAAAGGATGATGGCCAGCTTTGCTAATAGTCAAAACCAATACTTGCTGATACTTGGGAGCAGGAAAAAAAATAACCTTTACCTTTCCCGCTGTGCATTTTTCATAGGGCATTTTTAGAGCTGGTTTTCTACAAATCTTTAGATAGTGGCCTCACTCATTCCACAATCGGGTATACTTTGCTAACCAGTACATCAGGCAAGAAATATACGAAATCCTAATGAACACATTGCTGGGAGATGAGAAAAATTAAATCCAAATAAACCAAAGTTTACCCACTTAGCACTCAAGCTCTAATCCTTAAATAGAAACATCTTTCATGAAAATATTTCTAAAATGATTCTCACATTTCTGTGACTTTTAAACAGCCCATGATAAGAAAAAAATCACTCTTCCTTGAAAATTCCTGATCGTTTCTACAAAGTTTTTTTTCTTTTGTTCCTGATAAAAACCCTATTCCTCTTTCACAGCTGCTCCGAGGTTTTCCCCGGAACCCACCCGCCCTGCACCTCAAGCCAACGTTGCTTTCCTGTTTAGGTAACTCCTCTGAGTTCTTCCACAAGTTCCACAAACTGGTTTGCCTTCCCTACAGACTGTAAGTGTGTTGAGGGGCAGGCTCATGACTAAGTCTGTGTCCTCGGAACCTAGCGCTGCATTCCTTCATGGTGACCAGGTCCTACTGCGTGCCAGACAATGTCCAGACACCAGGTGTGAAGCCCCGCCCAGGAGAACCAGCGCATCACAGGTGATGGGCTGGGTGTGCACAGCACTGCTTGCTCCACCCCCAAAGGGCCCCTGATAACCACGTCTTTTAGTTTCTTGCGTTTTTCTATCTTCCGGTTTATTCCCAGGCTATTAAGTTGCCCCTTCTTGCTTCAGCAGGGAGGTCGCTATTTATTGGTTTATTTCTGCTCCTGGTGAAGGGGAAGCTGCCATGCTCCTTGGGTGGGGTAAGGCCATAACAAGGGAGGCTGGGGGACCACCCAGGATGCTGTGGCCACCGCCAAGGCATTCAGCTGTGGAGCCAGGCTGCCCAGGATGCATTGCCTTGAGCTTTGAGAAATAAAGCTCTGAATTGGCTGCCCCAGAGTTGGTCGGGGGACAGCGTGGCAGCCCTGGCTTGGCTGCAGCTCGGAGCACACTCGAAGCCAACTTCTCAAAAGCTAATGGTCCTGGGACAGCACCCCAGAAAGTGAGACAGGCAAGTTACCTGCCTACAAAGCAGCCCCCGGCACTTTCCCTAACTCCAGCAAGCCCTGGCTCTCAAGCCCTTGTAATAACCTACAGTGTCACTGAGGCAAACTCAAGAGATGGCAGCTGGATTCTACAGAGAACAGAAAGTTCAGTGACTTGAACTCCTTACTGGGAGGTGGGTGGGAGGTGCCAGGTGATGACAGGCCCTGGGGCTCTTGGGAATGCCCCAAGGGGGACTTCACACCCCTGTCCTCCCTGTCACTCCCTGGCTGCCTGATCCAAGTGCCTGGCCCTCAAAACAAGAATAAAATATTCATTGTGTGAGAGTAAGTTCCAGCTCAGTCATTTATCCAGCTCAGGACGGCTCTGACCACCGCATCTCTGCTTCAAGGGACCGGCAGCAGTAGCCCCTGTGAGTCAAACCACAGCACAGGAAGGGAACTGGTGACACCGACTGACACAAGTGCCCTCTTTTTCTTGAGTAAATGTCTTAAACAGTTGTCTTGCTGACCTTTCATAAACTGAGCGTAAGACATTGCCAACTTACTTGGAGCAACGACTACAAAGCATCATTGATAGTTTTTAATGAAAACCAGAAAGTAAATAAGATCAGAAACTCTTGTGAGATAAGAACTGTTCTTGACCTACTTTCCTGCCCCTGCCAAGCTGGCCACACCCCGTTTTATTGGGGGGGGGGCAGCTTCCCCCACCCCAGCCTGGGAGAGAGGGGCCGGTGGCAGGGGCGGGGCTCCTTCCCAGGGCTGCCCAACTACTCAGTTACCGAGGAAGGTGATCTGGGCCGTCCCCTTTCCCAGCAGTGCACGGCGAGGTGATACTGACCTGTCCTGCAGTGTCACAGAGCTGGAGTCTCACCGGCCGCCCATCCACAGACACCACAGCTTAAAAACAAGACCAAAACCACGGTCAGGGGCGTGTCTCTTCACTGTTCTCCGAAGAGTAATAGTTTCAGCCCGCACCGCCATTCGCACCCAAAACCCTCCTGCTCCTACTCTGAGGAGGCAGAGGTTGGCCTAAAACAAGGAGGTCTGCAAGGCATTTTTGTAAACCTCTCTCCAGGACTGACAACTCGCCCCCCCCTCCCCCCCCAACTGCTACTGATGAGGCAGCAAATCCCTAAGCCTTTGATGGGCCCCAGAAGGGCCTGGGTTTCCCTCCTGGTTCAGAAGATTTATTTTCCTGTCACACTAGTTTCAAAAGACCTAAAAACAACCCCAGTGAGGGGAAGGGGGTGGTAAGTGGGAACCAACCTTTAGGCTTTAAATCAGTGGAAAAACCTCACAAATGATTGTTTTCCCTTGGGAAACGGGCTGAGACTTCAGGGTTTATCATAAAATTGTTGCTTGTTTTGAGAACATGTGCAAACACTGGCTGCCTGCATTGTCCTGTTTATGAAAGAGGGCACCGCTTATCTCTGCCCGCTCAAGGAAGAGAGCTTGCACACCTTTCCACCGGGAGGGGCTCTTTGGGGAGCGACCTGCACGGGGCCAGGCCTGGAAGGTCCTACTTGAATTAAACAGTCAGTTCTGTCTCAATATAACTTTCTAGATTGTTTACACATAATTATACTAGTCGGTGGTACAAAAAGAAAGGTAAGAAAACAATGGTATTTAGGTGGGAAACCCATTAGCATAGCACAGATTATCTAGGTAACTCTGAGATGGAAGAAAGCAAGTCCTTGATGTTATGACTTTCTAAGAGATGGAACAGCATTCCCCAAAGAGAGAGAGAGAGAGAGATTGATTCACACTAGCTTCTGTGAATTTCAACTTTTTTGTAAATTTCAAAAAGACCTGAAAAATCAAGAGAAAGGATTCCTTTATCCTTCTGTCCACCAAACCAAATGAAATAGCACCCCAGAGACAAGAGCTTCAAATAGCTGGAAGAGACAGTGAAAGGTACTAAGAATCAGAAACATCCTACGGAGGCGGCGGAAGTGGGGGCAGTCGTGCCGCGGAGGGGGACTCCGAAGACAGAAATCGGGTCTACACTCCAGGCTTAATCCGAACCTACGCCTTCACCAGGGCCGATAGTCCTATTTTCATTAAATCAACTATTTTTCGCTGTCTCCGCGGCTGTTTAAAGTGGAGAAGCCCTTTTCCAGGGAAGTCGAGTAAAGGAAAGGAACTGACACCACAGGCCACAGGTAATGGCACCTGCGCGTCACCTTGCTTGTGAAACTCGGCAGCGGCGCCAGCGAACGTCGACCTGACGCAACTTTCTCTACGAAGCAAACTGACCGGGCAACCTGGACTCCACCTGTTTGATTCCCGCTCTGCCCCCTTCCTCGGGCTCAGGTTCTGACTCCCGTTCCCACCCCCTCCGCGGGCTCTGGTTCTGGGTTCTCCATTCTCTCCGCGCTTGCCCGGCCCCCGAGGCTCGGGGGCCGCCCCGCACTCGGCACCTGGTCCGATTCCCAGCTGGAGCCGGGCCCGCGGTCCTGCAGCCCTACGGGCGTCCTCTCCGCCCGGGGTCGGTCAGCACCGCGTCCGCGGACGGCGGCCCCGCGCCCTCCCCGCCGCGCCCGCCCCCCGGGCCGGCTCACCCGAGAAGTTGTCGAAGGCGGTGGGGATGTACTCGGTGGGGTAGCCGTTGGTGGTGTAGCTCACCACCAGGCTCGTCTTGCCCACCGCGCCGTCGCCGACCAGCACGCACTTGATGCCGCGCCCTTCCGCGCCGCCCGCGCGCCCCCGGCCCCCAGGCGCCCCGGGCCCGCGCCCCCCACGCGCCCCGCGCTCCCGGCGGGGCGGCACAGGCGGCGCCTCGCAGCGGCCGGGGAATGCGGGGTCCCCCTGCTGTGGGGGCATCGGTCCGAGCTCTTGGCTGTGCAGGCGCGGGCGAGCAGGGCCCGGCGCAACCGCCCCTCCGTCCCGGAGCCCTCCGGGAGGGAGGAGCTGTCACCGACCGCTGCGGGCGCGTCCCCGGCCACCGAAAGCCGCGGTTCCAGGCCGCTTGGCTCCCAGACAAAGGCGGCCGGGGAGGGTCGCGGTCTGTGCTCCGGCGTCGCCACCCGGCTCTGCTCCGCACGATAGGAGGACTGCGGGCCGAGCACTGTGGAGCCTGGGAGCTCTGTCTCCTCCCGGCTTTCCGGCGACACGACGCGTGGGGGGCGGGCGGGGAGGGGAAGGAGGCGGGTCCCGCTCGCAAGCTCAGTCCCCGCGCCGAGGCCACAGCGCCCCCAGCCTGCGCGCCGGGCGCCTGCAGCCGCTTCGGAGGCGGTAGGGTGCCTGGCAGGCGGGGTTGCCGGCGCGGGCTCCCGGGACTCGGAACACCCGCTCCCGGGACCGACCCCATCTCGCGAATACTGCTCCGGGGTGCGGCGCTTGAAGGAGCCGCGCTGTCGAAGGGCAGGTTTCTCCTCCCCTGCACGCAAGAGCGACCCCACCTCTGGACTGACCGGGTGGTTCCGCCTCACTGCGCCCACGTGGGCGGGAAGCTTGAGGTTCCTCCGGTTACCTCTGCCACTCGTCCCACTCGTCCCACTCGCCCCTCGCCCCTCACCCCCACCTCCGCTTCTCTATCGGAGCCTGTGCTGCGGAGCCCCTCGCGGGCCACAGCGCTCCAACCAAGGAGGGAGTGGGGGAATGAACTCAGTGTCTGGTGGGGGCATGTCGTCTGAAGGACGGAGTTAACAAGCAACTAACAAAAAAGAAAAGTCCATCGTGTAATTTTTTTTAAAAAGTCATCGTGGGATTTTTCTTCTAAAATAATCTATTCTTTTTCATTTGGGAGCAAAGGATGACAAGTCCATTGTTGGTGCATATTTGACTTTCCCTTTCCCAGGCCGTAAAACAGCACATTTCTTTATGGCCCCAATTCTCCATTGACCTAAATGAAATGTGGTGACAATATTATCCGGAAAGAAAAACGTCCATTTCTGTTTGACGACTTCCTGTCTACTTCCTCTTACATGTAGGCAACAGTCCATTCAGAAAACAGGGACACTTCTCTGAGCCTAGCTGGGACACAAGGGCCCCTTGGGCGGGGGAGGGACGGTTATCGTGGGTGAGAAGAGGCACATACCATGAACACGGATACTAATGCTCAACTAATAATACAAATGACAGTAGCTAATAAATACTGAGCTTTTGTTATGGGCCGGACAATTGCAAGCCCTCTGCATGCACTAGTTCCTCTAATCTCAGCACTGCTTAAACCCATGCTGTGGGTATAAAAGGAGAAAATCTGAGGCACAGAGCTGTGAAGTAAGATGCTCCAGTTCCACAAGCTAGTGAGTGGCGGTGCCCGGATCCAAACCCAAATAGTCCCACTCCAGAATCTAAGCTCTTAATGTCCGGAAAGCAAAGATAAGCCCAGAGGATAAACTCAGACTTGGAAGTACCACCGTGGTCCCAAAGCGGGTTTATCAGAAGCTTCTGAATCAGAGCCCCTCACCAGCAAAGAACCCCTTCCAAGGCCCTGGGGACCCTGGCAAGGTGAATATATGGTTATTCTTTTGTAAATTTTGCAAAATAATATGGTTTAATTACCATCAGTTAAGTCCACTGTTTCTTTCCACCCTAGCTTCCCCTCAAACTGAGTGGCTTTGAAGTGGCCATGTTTATTTTAGGGGTCAGCCAAGGAAATGGAAGTTAGGGGGGGCATTGCCTTAGGGTTTAATGGACACAGGGCCAGGTCTAGGCTGAGGGAAGGGAGACACCATGGGAGCAAGACTGAAGGGGGCCAACGCTGCATTTGCTTGACCCTGAGAATGAGCACCCCTTCAAGTGGTGAGCCCCGGGCACCTCGCTTGCTCCTCCCTGGCCCTGACCCTGACCCTGACCCTGACCCTGATCATTCTGTGGCTTCCAGTTCCTATGTGGAGCTCTGTGATGACGAGCCGTCCAGGTGTGGGAGTGGCTACCTGTGACGTGCCTACTGCCCTCTGTGAAGTTCTGTTGGTGTCCCCCGGAACCGTCCTGTGTTCCCCAACACAGCAAGGGTTCCAGCAGCACAGGGGTAAATTGGGGTTGAGATGGAGGAAGCCGAAAGCTAAGTCTGTGGCAGTTCTTTCCATTGTAAAACACACAGTGTTGTTAGAGAGGGTTTGGCTGTGTGAACTGCACCTGACCCAAACGGAAGTTCTGTCCTGTCGGGAATAAACGCAGCGAGCGCAATCAATGGTAAATGTGCCATAAATTTTGGGAGGCAATCACATGCCATAGAATTGATGTGAGTCCCTACATCAGTGGGGACACAGGCCTCTAGGAGTGACACATGGCGAGTTCACTGGCACGTGAAGCACATTTTTATTTCCATGGAAAATGTATTGCGAAATTACAGAACTGAAGAAGGGGTCAAAGGGTGTGCAGCGAGAGCAATTTGAGGAGGTGTACAGGGGCATAAAGTTTCAGTTGCGCAAAATAAATAAGGTTTGGCGATTTACTGTGCAATAATGGGGCTGCGGTTCACTGTGGTATAGCGTATCCTTGAAATTTGCTAACAGGGTAGATCTTACTGTTTTCAATATACACACACTCACAGATGCACATACACATGAGGAGATGGGAGGTGTTGGGTATGCTGATTACCTGGATGGGGTGAGTGTTTCACAGTGCATACACATATCAGATCATCAAGTGGTGCATCTTGAATACACGCAAGTTTGAACTGTCAACTATACCTCAGTGAAGTGTGGGGGGTGCAGTTTAAAGATACGGAAAAGAACAGTCTTATCAATGTGTGTCAGGCAGTTTATTAAAGTGTTTCCTTGTGGAATTTTTGAAGTTTGTATCGTTGGTATAAGTTTTATAGCTTGTTGTGATGTAGTTCTATATATATATATATATATATATATATATATATATATATATATATATATTTGTACCTAATTTCTATTCTTAAGTTTTTAATCTTATTACAGAGGCTCCCAAATTTGATAAGTTTCGGGATCTACAAAACTTAGCTCTACAGCTCCATCTGGCCATGTGTCCGTTTGCATTCTTGCTTTATTTTCTTTTTTAGATGCTGCACTTTTTATGTTGAACTTCATCCCATCCCCACTCATTTGGGTTCATCTTTCTACATTCAATTCCATCACCTCCCTGCAGCTTTCTCCAAAATGTATTTATTTCTCCTAAATAAATGGAGGGAGAGTTAATGCTCCCCCTATTTATAATGATCGTCTGTGAGCCACGGAGGAAAGCAGCCCACGCTGCACTGCGTGGCAGCGCATTCCAGTCCGGAGTGGAGAGGCGCCTGGGAAGTGCAGGATGCCAGCAGCGAAGACTCCGCAGGGACCGCGTGTGTTCATCCTATAACCCACACTTGGACTTGTGTGGGGCAAATAGTAGGGTGCTGTTTTTATTTTGGGGCACTTACGAAACTTGTTTAGAATGCATGAATGAAGTGGGATTACTTCTTACAGGAGTTAATCCTCAACACCACGCTGCTCTGTTTTAAGAATGGCTTACATGATAACGTCTGGTCAGGATGGCAGAGTAGGTACACCCTGTGTTCACCTCCCCCCAGAACCACATCAAAAGTACAGCTAAATTATGGAATGATCACCCTGGAGAGCTCTGTGAAGACCGGCTGAACGGAGCTCCTATAGCGAGGGAGGTGAAGAGGAGGCCACGTGGAGACTGGTAGGAGGGGCGGAGATGCAGAATGGGCGGGGCCCACATCCCTGGGTAGCGGGTTCAGAATCAAGAGTGTTAACTCCTCTGCGGAGGCCACTCCTCAGGAGTAAGGGGTTCCCACCCCAACCAGATTGGGGAGTTGTGGGGACAGGAAGAGGACTCCCCACAACATGTGGCATTGAAAATCATCAGGGATTTTATCCAGGTGAGCTGGGGGGGCTTCTGGAAACTCAGGTGTCCTCTTAGAAGGCCCACACACAGACTCACTGGCTCACAAACAACACCCTAAGCCCCGGCAAAGGGACAGCAGCTCAAAAGGCACCAGAGACATGGGGGGGGGGACTGAATTGTGTGGCTTCAAGACTAGGGCTGGAGGGGCAGCTGCCACTGTTCCTGTGTTGAGCCCTCCAGCCATACAACCTGCAGGCACAGGAGGGCGCCAGATCTGAGTCTGCCCTTCCAGGTGGCAACCTGAGACCCCGCCCTACCCACCCTGGTGCACCACCTGCTTGTCTTTCAGGGGCTGTTCCTCACAGGCAGCTGGCCTCAGCCCATGCAGACTTTCCTAAAACTCTCAAAGGTTCACAGGCTCCAGGCAGGAAGTGTGGCCAGCCTTGGTGTGCCCTGTGAGTCTTGCTGAGTGGCTACAGGCCTGGCACTGGTGGCTGCTGGCCTCAGCTAGTGGCGTGGCCTCTCTCGTGTGCCTCCAGAGCCAGCACAGACAGCTACCAGCCATGAATTGCCTTGGAGCTCCTGACACGTGGCCCACACCCAGTATAGGCAGCAGCTGAACTTGGACTACACCCGAGCCCCTCCCAAGAAGCCCCAGAACCAACACACCCAGTGTCTGGCTTCCCCGGGTGCTAAGTTTGATGCTCACTGATAAACTAGAAGTCTGCGTGCAGACATTACTTTCTCTTGTGTACGCATTTGTTTTATTAGTAAGCAGAGCCCTTAAAGGGCACTTCCCCTGGTCCACAGATTCAGGTTCCTCTTCATCTTGACTAATCCGGAAGCAGTGACATTCACAAGTCTCCTTGTTAGGAGCAGCCACACAGAGCCAAGCCTGAAGACTATGCTCCATCAAGCATTTTCTGGTAAGCAATTTCCAATGTCTTTTAGAGAACGGTTTCTCAGAAAACACCGTGCTTTTATTCTTGAAGCATTCCGTGGGAACAGCAACAATCCCAAGATTCCCAGTTTTTCCATTGACTTTGACCTGCTCCCATAGAAACTGTTCAAGTTCTCCAAAATGAAAAGTTCCATCTTCTACCGAATGAGTGAGGTCCAAGCTGACGGCCAGGTTCTCCACTTTGGCTCCTTAACTTTCAGCGCTGTGAAAGGGGGTCTGCGTGGTCAGAGAGCCCCGGGCCTGGCTTCCAACCACCACAGAGCGCCACCAGTTACCTCCTCAAAAGGCACACTCATAGGGTGGCCTCAGCTGGCACCAGAGCTTGTCCTCTGTGGCTGTGGTCAGTCCTCACAACCGGTCAGCCTGGGGGTCAAGCCCACCCACTGACGACGTGCCTGCAACAATCCAGGCTCAACTGTGACAGGAGGGCACACATGACCCACCCAGGGGACAACTCTAGAGTACTCTTACAGTAAGACTTAAATATGATGTGATTGAGCAGAATCCTATCTCTACAAAACTTTTCTGTACCATGAACTACTATTTCATGTTACTTATATCTCCAGTGTTTACT